GACGATGATGATGATGATGATGCTGATGATGACGACGACGAGGAGGAGGAGGAAAATAATTGATCATTTGGAAGCTGGCAAGTTTCCGATGATGATTTTATGGAGTTGTTGGTTGGTTTACTGAAAATGACGTCCTGAAGATGAAATACTGAAGAGGACGACCCTATACCTGCAGGAAACCACTGGCCCAGCGGGACCAGGGGATGAGGATGCTGATCAACGACGAGGAGGACGACGAGGATGATGGGGATGATGATGATGATGGTGATGATGATGATGATGATGATGATAATGATGACGATGACGATGACGATGACGACGATGACGGTGATGATGATGGTGATGATGATGATGATGATGAGGATGATGAGGATGATGAGGATGAGGATGAGGATAAGGATGAGGAGGGTGAGGATGAAGATGACCATGAGGATGATGACCCTCTACCAGCCGGAAATCTCCTCTCGGGGGGGGATCGGGGGGGACCAGGGGGGGATCGAACTTGGGCCTGCCAGGGAAGGGGGGGGGGTCTAGTTTCAGGGTTTCCAATGGTCCTGCTCCCTGCCTATTCCTTGCTAAAGCAAGAGCAACTTCAGCTAGCACAGCTAGCTCTCGTGACTATAGAGGGAAATAAAAAAGATAAGTACTGCAACCATTCACCTACCATTAACCTTTGCAACCAGCCTCATGGGAGCAGTTGACCTTGCCGCGAAACTCCAGGGCGTCTGGCAGATCCAACTCCTCCGAATGATCTAAGGAGAGCTCCTCCTGTCGGTCGTTGTGGGTCGGGTGAAACCATACGCTGCTCTGAACGCGGCATTTCTCGAAACGCTGGTGACTTCAAGTGCCCTGAAACGTGTCAAGAATAATATCAGATCATCATTTCAGGTAGAAATGCACATAGCATGAAATAAAACTACAATTGAAATAATTGAAACCAACCAGAAGCGAAGAAAATGCCAAGTTTCCTCAATGTGACGAACTGCTTCTTCCTGAGGCTGCGAAGGTAATCAACGTGTGGCCAGGTTTTGGCTAGTCACTGCAGATTCTCGAGGGCAGTTGGGATTTTAGTTCCCAGCTCCCCGTTGAGCAGGGATGTTCCCATCATTCCTGGCTGGTTAGCTTACCAATGTCAGCGGCCAGATTTGCTTGCCTGGGTTTGGGTCCCTTCAAACTTGGGGGGACATCATGCAGGAGCGTGAAAAACCAACGAATTCCGCTGAAATCATGATTTTTCCAAATCCTGAAGATTGGGTTTCCTCAAGCCGTAAGATGGGAAAACATACCTTGAAAGATGCCGGAAAACATATATCAGTTTCAATGCCGGACAAAGGATGAAAATCGAAGGGAGGTTGTCTTTACGGGGACATCGACCCATCATGATCCATCATGACCCATCGTGACCCATCATGATCCATCATGACCCATCATGATTTGTGCCAGCAAGTGTCTGGGAGCTGCGGTCGGAACAAGTCCAACAAAAAGAGCTCAGCATCTTTACCTATAATCACAGCGCCAGGGTGGTGTTCGATGTACTGCTTGAAACTTCAAATTTCTGGTGATTTTATCAAAGAAAACTGCCGGTTTAGTGGGTAAAATGGAAAGTTCAGGGCTTTCTAGTATTGTGTATATATTTAGCAATCAATATTATGTTAGATCTTTTGGTGTGTCTGTCCGACAATGGGAGTTCCCACAAGATGCCAGTTCTAATGGGGAAAATCATGAGATACCATGGGGTTTAGGGGTTTTTCCCCTAACATTTCAGACAAAACAACACACATATCCTGGTGATACGTTACGAGACACGTGGTTCTACAGAGAAAATCGAATATACATTTGGACTATGCCCAAGATGGGGAAAACCATGTTAAACAATGCAAATACTGAAAATACAAAAACATGAAAACATGACAATATATTTTCTCAGCTTTAGGATGATGATGGGCATCCAGAACATATCGCCAGGACCAACCAATCCAATCCTTGGGCAGCTGACCAAGAATGAAATCAACCTGACAAGTGGATAAAAAACAGAACTCACCAAGTTGAAACACAGTCGTTAAAACAAATGCACCAGCATCCTCGAAAATACAGAAACAAATCATACAACTGTTTCTGTTCTTTTTTCTGATGTCTTAAATGGGAAAACACACACCCGGGCCCCTTTACACAACAAAAAAACGACCTCCCAGCTCCAAGCGGCATCCCCTCAGCACTGGAAATCCTTCAACCCGAAATCCACGGTAGCCCACCGTACGGTTGCGCGGCCCCGGCCGCTGATAGCTTCCCACTTTGGCAGTCAACGTCCGCAGCTGATGCGCGGTCAGAGTCAACGTGGGGTCATGGGTTCCTGAAAACCTTGGTGTTTGCTGGTGAACCATCAAAAGATACACATGTTGAACCAACATTTAGACTGGCAAAAAAAATGAACCAACGAACAGAGCACTAGGACAACTGACAGATTTATATACAACAAAAGTGGACATGTAGTAGGCGAATCTTTGCAATCAACCACACAAATGACCGGCACACCATATGAGTAGAGCCCTGGTCAATAGAGGGAATCTGACTACGTCTTCTGACTATGACTTCCTGCATGCCCCCAATGATTGAGATGGGGGTTGCAAGCGGAAATTACACGCTGAATATTGCTGAATGATGACAAACGTACTGACATGTCCCAAGATACAAAATTGGTGACACCTCCACAGCCTGAACATGGGTCGCCAGTGCAACTAAACCAGCCAATCTCCAGAACATTGGCAAAGGACGCAGTGCTACACAGGAACTGCGCGTGAAAACACAGGCTGATTTGCGTCTCATGGCTGCGGAAATAGACTCCGGTAAAAGGAACTCTACCGGCAATGAATTCCGGAAACAATAAAACACCTGGTTGGTGGTATACCTACCGCTCTGAAAAATATGAGTCAATGGGAAGGTTTATCCCATATATTATGGAAAGTCAAAAAAAACATGTTCCAAACCACCAAGCAGTGATTATTAACCATCATTAAGCATCATTAAACATCATTAACCATCATTAAGCATCATTAAGCATCATTACGCATCATTAAGCATCATTAACCATCATTAACCATCATTAACCATCATTAGCCATCATTAGCCATCATTAACCATCATTAACCATCATTAACCATCATTAAGCATCATTAAGCATCATTAACCATCATTAACCATCATTAAGCATCATTAAGCATCATTAAGCATCATTAAGCATCATTAAGCATCATTAAGCATCATTAAGCATCATTAAGCATCATTAACCATCATTAACCATCATTAACCATCATTAAGCATCATTAAGCATCATTAAGCATCATTAACCATCATTAACCATCATTAACCATCATTAATCATCATTAAACATCATTAAGCATCATTAAACAGCATTAACCATCATTAAACGTCATTAACCATCATTAACCATCATTAACCATCATTAAGCATCATTAACCATCATTAACCATCATTAACCATCATTAACCATCATTAACCATCATTAACCATCATTAACCATCTTTAACCGTCATTAACCATCATTAACCATCATTAACCATCATTAACAACATTAACCATCATTAAGCATCATTAAGCATCATTAAGCATCATTAAGCATCATTAAGCATCATTAACCATCATTAACCATCATTAACCATCATTAACCATCATTAACCATCACTCCCCATCACTACCCCGTACTAAACCAATGTTCCAGTCACCACCGCGAAGCCGCCAAGCCATGCAATCCCTGCCATCCCAAGCCAGCCATATCCAGCGGACATCCTCTGAACAAGAAATTGCACATACCATTGAAGATATGATTGAGTTTTTATTATTGGTATAATGGGTATAATGGGTACAATGGTATAATATCATACCCAATATAATGGTATAATTATATAATTGGTATAATGGTATAACCCAATATAATTGCCAATTATTGTATTATACCTGTTGGATTGGGTCTGCATGGTTTTGGTTAAAAGAAACATACATAATTATTATTATACAATTACTGTTTTTGACTTTGGACATTCTCATGTCTAGGATCAAACGTTAGGATCCATCTCATCACTTCAAGCAATTTGCCGGCAGCACGCTCTTGCAGGTCACCGAAAAGCTCCGAGGAAGTTGGTTCAACAGCCTCAAGCTGGAGGAATCGGAGGCCGCTGCGTAGCCGTTAAGCATTCTTGAGCTCCCCATGCAGTCTTGGGACATCCTGTAAAGCTGCCGTATCCTTCAGAGTTGACGTGTCGGCAAGCACACTATTGGGCTCAACAATCACTGGTTGCTGCTTCAAACTCATCCCAATACTACTAGAATGACACACATATCATATCCACAAAAATACTCAAAGAATGAAAACACCAAATCAAACACATACCCAGAAGCGAATTTCGTTGTCTAAAATAGGGTACCCTGAATGCCCTGAAGCCTCAAACCCAACGGATTGTCATCCATTTTCCAAGTAAGATAGCCACGTTGGGTAATTTTGGGTAATTACCATCCATCTTTTCTGACTAACTCATCACATGGTCATGTACATCCTATCAAACATCCCACATGTTGTCACTCTATGGTTTAAGGGATATTGATAGGATATTAATGGATACATGATACAACTATATATATATATAATAATAATAAAAATAAAAATAATAATAAAAAAATAATAATAAAACATAATAATAATATAAATATAATGCAATATTATAGACACCCAATTATCACACCCTATTTTGAAATGGGATTTAATTTTGGACACCAAACTAGTCGCCACGGTGACAGTTGACCCCATCTCTTGGTTCGCGGCTCGCGCTCACCAAAGGTGCTGAAGGAGCCAAGTGTTCGGATCAGTCGACCTCCGAAGCAATGGAGGAATCTCAAGGAGGTTGGAGCTTCCAACCATTCCGAATATCTACATACTTTCATAACCATGTATGATATATGATATATGATATATATATATATATATATATATCATTATAAATGATATATATATGTATCTATACATATATGTACACATAAGAACATATATCACTTGTCAACGAAATCGTTCAAAAGCTCAGTGGGTTGATTCAAGAAAACATGTCCTTTTTTGCCATCATCTGTAGGGCGGTAGTGGTTAAGTAGATCTTACTTCCTCGTGCTTCAAAACTAGCATGGTATTTGCAGCAGGTGTTCCTGTAAATGTTCCCTTTATCTACCTTCCGCGAAGCAAACGCGGCAATGAACATTTGACTATTTATGGATGAATTTCCCGATGAAGCCACTGCTTACCATGTTTGATTAGGAGAGGGTAGTGAATCTACTTCCGGGAACAGCCCCAGCCGTGCACGTCATCCTTTCATAACCATGTACCATCAGCTGCGCGGAAGAACCAAAAGCAGTCCTGGGCAGTGAGATGTGTTTTGTTTCTTCAGAACCAACGAATAAGCATGACCAACAAGAGTGTTTAGTATGTTTAGTACAAGTATGTTCTAGTACCCAATTGAACATTCCAAATTTGTGGAAAAAAGTTGCTTTTGGACGATCCAAAGTGGGTTGATGGAGTCATGTTGCGACAACTAATGAAGTTCAGCAATGACCACCACTATGGTAATCAGTTGATATGTATGTGTATACAATGTGAATGCATATGTATATATATATATATAAATATATTGCATATGATGCATATGATGTACCATGGTATGTATATATATATATATATATATTTAAAAATCATGTTATATGATCTTAAATTCATCAAGAGAACATGTCTTTCTCATTGTCCATTCTATACACAATTGAAGAACTAGACCCGATACACAAATCAGTCCAAGTTCTGTGGGAATCATCTGTGGCTATGTCCCTTAAATCGGCAAATTTTACACACAACAATCCAAAATCATTTTTTGGGTTCGGAAACCAACAGGTTTAGGTAGAATGACACCAAACAACATTAAACAACATTGATGCATGGACGGCTTTTGTGATTTTTACCATCAAACAACTCAATTTTCAGAATCCACTCCATCATAAAACTCTCAGACACCTCTCATTTCACGACTTATAATCCCATCCCCCTAATATCACCCCAGCATCTGCCAAAACACAGACAGGGGGGTCGCTACAACTGGAGCTTCATCCACATTATAAACTATCGCATGCTTTTCGGTTGCCTAAATCGAATATGTTGTTGAGTTCACCAATTTCGCTTGCCAATAATCCGAATATGTGTGTTTCTGAACTCACAATCTTAACATAGTCGCACTCCATCTCTAGACTCTAAACTATTGGCTTCACCATGAACCATTTTAACTTGACAAAAATGGGACCTCCCATGACTTAGAACACCATCGTTTGTTTGATCAAATTTCCTCAATTTGCTTTGTCTAATAGGGTATCCAAAACATTTGATGGTATATTAGAATGTTTCCTATTCAAAAAATGTTACAGCATAGGGGGATACACCATCTTGAAACACACCCAGATTCATACTGTTCATGATGTATCCATATGTGTCACATCAAATATGTGCCATCAACTATAGAACCCATATCAAAACATATCACTTTAACACTTAAACTATGTCTTGGTTAACTCCTCATTTTACAACCAATGGTTGGTTCATCCCACAAAGGTTTTTCCAGATCTCAGGTCTCCGTCTGCACCCGAATGGTGGCATTGTGCCGCAGCGCGAACTCGCTGACAGCGCGGATGACGCCCAGTCCGTTGAGGCCGAAGTCGTGGCCGGCCAGGCCTAAGCTCTGATGGTTTTCTGCTGGGAAAGTCGTGTCTTTGGCAGAACTTTCTGAGGCAGAACTATAGAAAAAAAAACAGTTGAGGTGTAGAAAACTATCCAATGAATGTATGTGAATCATTGTGAGTATTCATAATCAATCATCATATAGTCGTTTGGGGTTTAGTATCCAGGCCTGACCAGCGATAAGGTTAGTTGGGGGAAAACTATGATGCAGTACTGCCCTAAACCATCCATTTTTGATGGTCAACACCAACACATGTTTGGTAAACATTGGGATAGTTTATTCATTTACCACTTTGGTTGAAAAATTGGGATAGTGATCATACACCAATTGGGATAGTTTATTCATGTCCATTCAAAACACTGGTTGGAGTGTAGAACATTCCAATATATCGATTTACTCAGTGATCATAGACAGTTGAAAGGGTTCATCTCCAACAGGAATTCGAAGTCGTTCATATGCCTATGGCTAGTTAGTCGGAAACACATCTATCAAATGTAATGTCAAGAGGGATACAATAGGATATCCATATGTAACATTCATTTACATATATATATATATATGTATATGTAACAATTCAAGTATTTTCGCAGAACGCGCCAAGAGTTGGGGTAGAATTCTTTGGGACTTAACGGTCTTAGGTATCTTAGGAATCCTGGTTCAGACTCGGCATCCTTCAGGCACTTTGTCAAGTCCCAACTCTAACTGTAAACGGACAGTGAAAATCACCATTTTTCACCATTTTCCATAGGTAAATCGGTAAATCATCAATAAATCACCATCTTTCCATGGTAACATGTGGATTGGGTAGTAGGTTGGGTGTCGCCGTGCCAGCTGCGAACCTGTTGCAAACAGCTATTTACATCCACCATGTTCCATAAGTTGTTACTTCAACTTTAAAAGCAATGTATACAGTATACAGTATACACGTGTATATATATATATATCATTCTGTGTATATACATATACATATATAATTATGTATATATATATATATATCATCTCATTATGTGTATATACGTATATATATATATATATATTTATATTTATATATATACACATTATAACACCCAGAACTGGGGGGATCCTGCGTTGGCATGGCAACAAAATGAGATTCGCATTTTGTTAAGTGAAAGAAGCCATCAATGATATGTAACAAGTGTTGCACGGGGCTAGATATTTCTATTCATCCTACTTCGCAAGCATACGGGGTGTATACAATGGTATATACCCAAACTTACAATTTAAATGAGAAAACAAAATGATACTCTTTGGGAACTGGGCATGCCATGGAGTACCGGTTTTTAAACAAAAAACACAAATCATCACCTTAGGGCTGTCTCAAAAGTTGGAAAGCCCGAATCCCATACTTACCCCCAATGATCTTACCCCCAATGATCTTACCAATCATCTTCCCAGTATACAGATATCTCAGATACCCTCAAAGCCTCAAAGCAATATATGGAGAATGTCCCATTGGTATAGATGATTTACCAGGATTTACCTAGCTTAAATGATGATTTTTTCCAGAGCTATGTTTACCGGGGACCATCCCAAAAGGCCCCAAAGGCTCCAGAATGTTCCAGACCAACTCAGCCATGGCTCAGCTGGGTAATGTTTGACACAAAACATCCCATAGCCAAATGAACATAGTGGTTTAATATGGTTTCATGGCTTTCTTTTGGTTCAAATGGAGATAGAATGGAGATAGCATGGGGATATGATGCGATATAGAAGGAACTATCTATCTATCTATCTGTCTATCTATCTATCTATCTGTCTATCTATCTATCTATCTATCTGTCTATCTATCTATCTACTTATCTACCTATCTACCTATCTACCTATCTACCTATCTACCTATCTACCTATCTACCTATCTACCTACCTACCTATCTACCTATCTATCTATCTATCTATCTATCTATCTATCTCTCTATCTATCTATCTCTCTATCTCTCTCTCTCTATCTATCTATCTATCTATCTATATCTATCTATCTATCTATATCTATCTATCTATCTGTCTGCCTGTCTATCTATCTATCTATCTATCTATCTATCTCTATCTATCTATCTATCTATATCTATCTATCTATCTATCTATATCTATCTATCTATCTATCTATCTATATATCTATCTATCTATCTATCTATCTATCTATAAATCTATCTATCTATCTAAATCTATCTATCTATATCGATCTATCTATATCGATCTATCTATATCTATCTATCTATATCTATATCTCTATCTCTATCTCTATCTATATCTCTATCTCTATCTCTATCTATCTATCTATCTATCATATAAATATGTTTTTTTTGTGTTGTTTCTTTTTTTTTTGTGTGTGTGTTTCTTCAAATGGGGGATATTCCGATTTATGGCAATTTTCATTGTGAACATGACTAAACTTGAACTCAACATGACCCATGGCGCTTCAACAGCAGCCAGAGGAACAACCACCTGGAGCCACCTTGGGACTCCAAAGGCGCAGATCGTCCACGACCGTTTGATAACGATGATCTCCATCGATGAAACTGTCGGCAGTTTTGGGTGTAGAAAATGGATGGACAAAATCTGGTAACCAACCACAATGGGATGTGCATGGATATGGGGATATCGCTCTCCTGACCATCCATCTGCTGACTGCTTTTATTATTGAGCCCAAAAACATGCTCATTTCAAATTCAGGGTGCATCATGTACCCATGTTGGATGGAATGTCAATTTGTTTGCAAAAAAATGTATAAGAGGGATGGGTGATATTCAATGGGTGATGCACCGTACCAGGAAACAGACAAACAAGAACCAACACACCACAGGGAAAGCTCACCCACGGCTCTTTTTGAAAAACTGGAGGACACACTATGCACAGCAAACAATAATGGCAATACAACAAACTAAATACCAAGGGTTGTGCAGTCTGCAGACCTTCCCAAAAACGGGGAAGACCTTGTTGTAGGCTTAATTGTTATTGCCAATTCAGGATAAATCTGAGAAGACTTTCCCAGCGAGAATAAACTTATATCTTGTCAGCAATAAAGCATGGCACCTGGAGGGCTACACATTTTACCGAAAACCAAAGTACTTTTAGACCTGCAACAGCTACTCAATTTCATAGGTAGTCCCTGAAGGTCAAAGGACTGTGACCATTGCAATACCTGATGCTACTTGATGCTACTTGATGCTACTTGATGCTACTTGACGCTATGTGGGGATTGAATCGACCTCAGCCATCAGGTTCATTGTTGGGGGTCACCGCATGGCTATGGTGAGTCCAATCAGTCTCTTGACTTTCCATGACTCACTGGGCCTAATGAACTCTGAAACCCCGGAAGAATGGTGTGGCTCTTTTAATCATGGGGTCCCATACAAGTCTTATTGCACATTAGTTCTATAGGTGTTTCATTACCGGGGCGATGGAGTTACAATTCTCGCGTATTGGTGTTTTTACTGCGGCCGATGGTTCACCCGTAGTCAGGGATGCTCCCCTGACTAAGCAACCGAACAATGTTTTTGCTCCTTTTAGCCTACGTATGTATCCCAATGTAATCCCACGTTTGGGTTTGTCTAAGAGCAAGGATATAGGGGGGTACCCGAGTATCCATTGGTCATAAATCTCCCATTGAAATTGCTACAAGTTGGGGCATCCCCCGTTTTCCAACAAACCCGACTATCACGTGTTTGATTGTATATCCTATAATATATCAGGTATGTATATGTGTGCATTTCATATATAATGCATATATATATATATACACACACTTCCCATTGGTTTGACTGAATATAGAGTACCGCAGTATCTGTTATCTCGTGACTCAAAACCTCATTTTCTTTCTTGGAAGATATGGCACATTTTGAAACAAACCCATTAAATGCTATTGGTGGGTATACATCACAAAAACATATCCCATAACATACCCATAAACCACAAACCAAGCATTCATTGTCTAAAACTATATTGTTTGATGGTTAAATCACCATTTGTCACCACAATATATATATATATATATATCCTGTAAAATCTCCAATAAGATATAATTTCAATTAATTCCATGTATTTGTTATACCAAAAATCCTCATGTTTAATGGATGATTAGCTGTGTTACAAGGTGGGGCTCCCCGGTTATAAGCCGCCCAAAAAAACAACCATAACCATCCACAACCCCTCGTTGGAGTGATTTGCACCAACTTAGACAACTAAATCCTGTGAAATCCCCAAAAAAAACAGTTTTGCTGGAAATACCTGGGATTTATCATATCGTTAACTCATGTTAACTCATGTTAACTCACCATTTTAGCCTAATTTTTCTGAAGTTCCTCCAGTAAAAACCAGCCACGGCCGCCACGGCACACCAGGTCCAGCGATGCGTCCGGTAGTTCTTGGTGCGCCACGTCGCTCATTGCTTCGAGCCAACGGGCACGGTGCTGGAAAGGCTTCACCCGCTGCCTGGTTAGATTTTCTTTGGGGGAAATCATGGAAAAGTATGGTAAAATCATTGTGAAATTGAGTGGCAATTGATCAATACATATATGAAACTCATCTTTTGAAACTGATCTATATGATATGAAAATATAAGTAACATTGTAAAACTAACTTTTGGATTTGATTCGGAAACACGGAGAGTGGGAGTTCATCAAAAAAACAGAGGATTTATATATATATAAATAATATAAATAGTTTGATTTTATTGGGAGCAAAAGCGATTGTATCAGCAATTGGGAGAGAGGGTTTAGGAGTGGGAGATCGGATTAATACAATCAAAGCGCGTACTGGTCTGCAAAAATGGTATATAGCAAACCCAAACATCAAAATACTGATAGGCAAAAAGTGTCAATCGTAAACCTGAAAAACACGACTCAAATAAGTCCTGAACAGCTTTCACCTGCCCCGCCTAGCTTCTGCAACAATATTTGGTTCCACCAAAATCATTTGCAGCTCTGGAAGCTCCTCAAAGTGATGACATGACAGGAAGAAATGGCCTACTCACCAGGATGAGGGAGTCGTTCAACCCATCGACTGCTTAAAACACATACAGTACCTTCCCTATGAACTCCGCAGTGTTTGATCCACTCCCTGAATGCAACTTCAGCGCTTGGTATTCACAACGGTATGTGTCGAGGTTCCTTACCGGTCCAACGACCATTAGTTATGATTCATACATTTTTATACGCAAAAAAAACGTCCACAAAAAGGTGGACATTTGTATACATAGATACACAAATTGTTTAAATACATTGCATAATATTGTGTTACATTCCATTCAATTTCATTAAAATGAAAACACATAGAATACATATATCATATACCCCTACATGTAAACATACGTATCTATGTAAAATACCACAACAATCCTGGATTTGCTACAATATGTTAGAATACGGACGTGTCAAACAAAATATCTATTACAATGGGAACAATATTGAACATCTATTTCCACATTCCATATATTTCATGATATTTCATATTTCATGATACATTTCCATATTCTGTAAATTTCAGGATCACAATATATATATATGTACAATATAATTTCAATAATATATACAATATATAAATCAAAAAAAATATGTATAATATATAATTAATATAATATATATAATATAATATATATATTATATAATATATATTATATATAATTTAAATAATCTATTAAATATATAATTTCAATAAAATATACATAATATATAATATATATAATATTTAACTTATATATAATATATCATA